ACTGATCGACGAGTGAAAGTGCGCGAGTTTGTTGAGGCCATAGGCATATCACAGTGATTTCAATTTTGCACGAATTGGGTATGAAAAAATTATCGGCAAGAGAGGTGCTGCGTTTGTTCACTGTGAACTATAGGCGCGACGATTTCAAAACAATGTTTGGAGATGTTTCAACGTAATCCAAATGAATTTCTGCGTCGATTCATTACTGTGGACGAAACATGGATCCATTACTTCACACCTAAGACGAAGGAACAGTCAAAACAATGGACTTCACCGAGTGAATCAGCTCTAAAGAAGGCGAAGAAGTCGGTCGGAAAGATGATAGCCACAGTTTTTTGGGATGCACGCGGTATAATTCATATTGATTACCTTTCATCGAAGCAAACGATCAATTACTACGCAGCCTTATTGGATCGTTTCAACAACATTTTAAAGAAAAAACGTCCTCACTTGGCGAAGAAGAAAGTGCCCTTCCATCAAGACAATGCACGGGTTCACACGTACCCGGCATCGATGGCCAAATTCAACGCATTCCGCTATGAATTGCTTCCCCATCCAGCATATTCGCCAGATTTAGCCCCCTGCAACTATTTCCTATTTCCAAACCTGAAGAAATGATTCGGAGGAAAGAGATTAATCAGAGAACAGCTCATCGCCGAAACAGAGGCTTATTTTGAAGGGTTAGACAATCATATTATTCGGATGGCTTGAAAAAGTTGAAAAATCATTGGATCAAGTGTATCGAGCTGAAAGGAGACTACGTTGAGAAATAAAAATGAATCGATAAAAAAAATGTGTTTTACTATGTTTTTCTAAAAACTTATTGACTTGCCTTCGTAATAATTACATTTAAGATAACCTAGAGACATGATGCGGAGAACAGTTGTTGGCGCAAACGAGCGGAAATACTATAGCAAACTTATTACCATAAATATTGCTACAATCTTTTAGAAATCGTTTTCGTAAGATATTTAGTCCACATTTCTGTCAATTGAATGGAATTGGAGTGTCGTTGAGCAGTATGCGGCATCTCTATCAGAGGAATGCATCGAGTTAAATTTCTTGATTTAAACAAATGATATAGAATAGAATAAAAGACGCAGCATTAAAAGATTTTTCAGCTGTGTTTTAATAAAATAATTTTTTGAAGTGAGTCCCAAGGGCTCTAAAACGAAAGCATAATATATTTTTTTAATGTTTATCAATTAAATGAAATCTCCTGATATTTTAAAATATTATTACGCTTGTTATGCTTACCGAGGACTTCGATAACAATTCATTCACGTTTGGACAGCTCGACAACGCTCGTTCAGTTAAAATACCGCCAGATTACTGGCAACTTATGGGAGTAAGATTTTAGGAAAATGTTTCCGTCATGTTGCCTTATGATTTCTAACAACTTATTATCGATTTATAAGAGGGCAACTGTTGCCATCGAATTGCTCATAAGAATTAATGACAATAAAATTAGTGGCAATCTAATAGGCAAAATCGGAAGCTGTTTTTCTTAAATATTGAAGGCAACTTAAGCAAAGCACTTTCAAACAAATTGACAGCAATCTATAGGCAATTTGCTATGTGCATAGTATAAATACACAAGTTGAAGCATCACGGATAATGGCAATAGCATACTAGAAACGACCAATCAAATTTGTGCTCAAATTCATTCTCCTACTGCGCATCCATGGGAATGCTTCACCTTATATATA